ATACAATCAATAGTTATATGCCGTAATTTCATTTAATACACTGTTCTAATTTAAAGCTGCTTTATTCTGAAAACCGGATGTTCACACACTCGACTTCCGGTTCTCACGAGTAAATATTTTCAACTTCCGGTTAGCATTAGCATGTAGCTAATATTATGTTTTGTGTACATTACATTACATGTCATTTGTTAGATGCTTTTATCCAAAGCGACTTACATACATTCAGTATTGTTGGCTGTCTCAGGGACACAACGACATGCTGACTGCAGTGGGACTCGAACTTGCTATCCCCTGATTCGAAGACCAGCACACTATCCACTGAGCCACAGCTACCCATGTGTGCGTGAATTTAAGGAGAAATTAGACGTGGTGTTGCACACTAAACACAGGGTCTTTAACCCTCACTTATTGACGATACTATTATTAGGGAATGTTTAAACCAACAGATATTAGAATATTGTAAAACTAACATCAGAAAACAACAGGACGTGCCTTGGATCCGCCCCCGTCGACGTTAAGCCAATAGGAGAAGACTGCAGATTATAAAATAGGAGGCCAGCTGGAAGCCGGTCTCCTTGCCCAGCTGATCCCAAACCAACGGAGCAGCAACCAACGGAGAGAGCCACCATCTTTGCAATTTCCTTGTATAATCGTATCATTGTTTTATTAAACGCTGTTAACTTGTAAATAAGCTTCCTGGACTCTTTTCAGCTAATCCTGAGCTCAGAGCTGAAAAAACCTAGAGTACCAAAACAAGAGTGTTCTTGCCGCCAGGAAGCAGAACCACACACTGATCTAAAGACTTTACTGTGGGTTACTTATATCTTCTTCATTTTCAGGGAACAAGGGGGCCCCTGGAGATCCTGGTCCAGCGGGTCCCAGAGGGAACCAGGGCCAGGACGGGATACCTGGTCCTCCTGGGGAGAAAGGAGCTATGGGAGGTAGGAGACCGGGCTCAATAGTTCTGAATCCACCATACGTGTTGAAAACGAGTTTCAGCTTAGAACCCAGTCTGGTGCTGGTCTGGATCTCTGATTGGTTGGTTTTTTTGTCCCCCAGTTCCTGGGATCGGGTCTCGGGGCCCCGACGGGAAGACGGGTCCACCTGGTGAGTCCTGATCTGTGATCGAGTTTAGTTTTCAGTCAGAATTAAAGACGAGGATTAAACCCCACCCTCTGCTCAGGGTGTGTTGGAGGGGCGGGTCCTCCGGGGGCCTGCGGCCCTCCGGGCCCTCCTGGTGCTGGGGGAAACCCAGGCTGTTCTGGACCTCCGGGACCACCGGGCCCCTCTGGTTGTCCTGGAAAAGAGGGAGTCTGCATTGAAGGAGTCAAAGGAGAGAAAGGAATCCCTGGAGAGCACGGACCCAAAGGTGAGGAAATGCATCTCTATGGTTTGGCACTTATTGTGAATCGCCAAGTTTGCACCTGTATGAGTAGAATGGTCCTGTTTTAGTATATTTAGTGAGTGTAATGATGATGTGTGGAAACGTTCCTCTGCAGGTCCGACAGGTTACCGAGGTCCTCCTGGTCCTCCGGGTCCTGGCTTTAAAGGAGATGAGGGACTTAAAGGAGCTACAGGAGACCAAGGACCACCTGGTAACCACGGAGACACTGGACCCCGAGGCCCGCCGGTCAGTACACCCCATAGTTATACATCTGAAAAGATACAGAAGGAAAAAGATACATGTGTGTCCAGTTCATCTCAGATTTGAATTCTTACACTGGAATCTCAAATCAAAAGTATTTATTCTTTCATATGTTATCAGGAAACTGAAGGAGTTGTGTGTTTGATTGGATTTCCTCAAAACACCTTTTTATTTTTTGACACGGTTGTTTAATTGACAGGGTGAAGACAAACCACCAGGCCCACCGGGACAGAAAGGCATGATGGGAGATACTGGAGTCACCGGACCTGTTGGTAAGGACCACAGTTGAAAAGAGTGTTGCAGGGATGTGGTGTTTCTGAGTTGGATTGGTTTTGGATTATAGCAAAAAATAATTTCTGTGTCAAACAAACGTTTATGATTCTTACACGTTTAGTTCAGCAGGATAATCTCCACATATTAACAACACTTCATGATTTCTGAAGTAAAGAGCTAATGTTGGACTATAAAGGAACTACAGCACGGTCACATAACTTCACGTCACCACCGCTAAGCTAAAGGAGGCTAATGTTGGGCTATAAAGGAACTACAGCACGGTCACATGACTTCACGTAACCACCAGTAAGCTAAAGGTGGCTAATGTTGGGCTATAAAGGAACTACAGCACGGTCACATGACTTCACGTCGCCACCGCTAAGCTAAAGGCGTTATCTTTTGCAGAATTTCCAAATATAGGTTATTTTCTGGCAATAGAGTTGTTAAAACAAATATTGAATTTCTAGAACAACAGTGACCAAACACACCAACATAAATAATAGTTTATTCTAATGTCACAAACACCTTCAACATGAAAGCATGGCAGCTTGTGTAACTAAGGCAGTTTCCAGGG